GAGCCCTTCCCCAGAGCCTCGCGCGCCACGCGCTCGCCCACAAGGCAGCAAAGGACCCCAAGGAACTCGCCACTGCGGTGGCCTCTCTTGCTGCGGACCCACCCCAGGCAGCAAGGGAGAGGCCTCAGAAGAAGGGCCACCAGGAGGGGGCTGCGGCAGAACCCACCTTGCTCATGGTGGAGGTGCCGGGGCTGGCAAACGAGGCCAAGCTCCTGATGGCAGCTGGCAGTCACTGCACTGCTACTTACCAGTCTCAAGGCAGTCCCCCAGATCCTGGGGCACACAGGAGGCCCGCTGGGCATCTGCCATCAGCAAAGGACATCATCAAAATCACCATCTCCGAGGGTGAGGACAAGTGCATTGTAGTGCAGGACGAGGGCTCACCAAGTGATGTGGTCATCATCCAGGAGGGGGTGGGCTTCGGAGCAGTGGCAGAAGTGGTGGAGGTTGAGACTGGGACCTGACTAGCCCAGCCTGCCCTGGCTGATCTTCTTATGTACTTACTAAAATGGGGTATAAAAAAACCAACCAAAAAACCCTAGCACTCTTGTCTCTCTGTGTCAACAAAGCCCTGTGGCTCAGCCCCAGCCAGAACTAGCAGTCTTGGAGGTAGCTGCCTGTGTAGACCTGGGTCTTTTTGGTGCCTGCTCCTTGGAGCTATGAGCCTACACGTGCCACGTGCTGGGTCTGGTGCGGGGAAGGCACTGGTCGCTGATGGGAATAACTTCTTAGGGAAGACACCCACAGCGTTAATGAGCAGTGCTTCTGCTCTGCCTCCCTGATGCTGTCAGCAGGTGACAGTGCGCTGTGGGGAAGGCAGGAGAAGTCTCTAAGCAGCGGCTTTGAACAATGCCTTCCTTCCAAGTTTTTCTTTCTCCAATGAATTGTTGCTATTTAAGCACTTTGCTGGCCTTTTTCACAAGAGCATTTTTCACAATTAGCAGAAGCAATGTCCTACCTTGGAGCTAGGTCTGAGTGTTCTTTCTCCACTGTTGCCTGTTTCACTGGCTGTCGGCTTCGTGGCCTTACGGTCACAGGATGGTCTGCCCGAGGACATGGAAGGATAGCTTCGTGTCTCACAGTGCAAACAGCACTGTACAGTGCAACTTTCACTGGGGCTCCTTGCCTCTCCAGGTGGGTGTTCAGCAGTTCATCTCGGTATGCTCAGAAGATTTTGCCTTTCCCCTCCACGTTCAAGTTGGGTTGGTTAATCTGGTTCCCTTTTTCTCACGTTCTTGCTTCCTCTTTCCGCATCTTTCCTGTTCTTGCACCAAGAAGCTAAAAGGCAGCACCAGCACAGCTACACCCCAGTATTCCCACTGGGAATTTGCCAACTGGGGCACGCTGAAGGCAGTTGGTCCCGTTTCAGGAAGGAAGTGTACGGTTTCCAATGCCACGTGAACTTGGCCTCGCAGGAAGATACCAACACCACCAGCCCTAACAGAGATCTTTCAGACTTGCCCACCCTGCACTCCCTTTTCGCGTGTTACACAAACACTGCTTTCATTTGCTGTGTCCTCAGTTTTAGCTGTTCTTGCTCTCTGTCTTGTGCCTCTCTAATATCTGCATTTCCCCAAAAAAGTTTTGATAAGGGGCTTAAACTTTCTGGGCTTTTTATGCCCGCTGCACAAGGGGAGGGTGTAGGGTCACCGAGGAGCCATCAGTAGCACAGTTCCCTTTTAAGGTTGCTATGAACACAGTAACGTAACAATCTGAAAAGCTGCTCTTTGCGGTTTCTACACTCAACTTTTTCCATCAGCTTTTATGACCAGTTTGCAGGCAAGGTGTTATAGTCAGATCCATGACCCTTTGATGTGAAGTGAGGATGGAAAGTGAATTCAGCTAATAAACCTTTGGGTGTCCTTATTTTTAGCTATTTCCTTTAAAGTTGGGGCAGATGAGTTCAGTCCTTGCCCGGAGTGCTCGGAGAGGGACCAGCGGGAGCACGGGCGTATGAGGGGGGCTTGGATTTGAAGCCGCAGTGCTTCCTACTGCTCTCCCATTGGTGCCTGGCCTAACTCTTGCAGTTTTCAAATATTGACACAGCTGCAAACTGTTCTCGCTGGAGCGGGGCTCGTGCACTGTGCTTGAAGCGTGTGCCCTCTGTGACAGCACAACTGGGAGAGAAGGGGAGCAACTGGGGGAAGGGGAGGGGAGAATCCGGGCCCTTACTGCCTAATCTGCTGATATGTAACTGCCATCTTTATTCTGAGATATTAGGAGAGAAAAAGTAGGAGCAATTACGAATTAGGAGGTCCTCACAGAAATGTTACTCACCTAACAGCTGATCTGAGTCGGTAGGGGCAGGTCTGTGCTGTGCTGCACGTATCACTTGGCTGCAGGGTAGGCCGGCTGATCCTGACCAAGGAGCCCATGGGTGGCTCCCCTGGTGATGGTACCGCCACCGCTTCTTTGTCTTTATCTTAGAAGCAGCATGCTCTTATTTGAACAACCTTTTGCTTGACATCAAAATGACAAAGAAAGTTGTTTACTCCTAAGAAAATCTTATAAAAGCCCTGAAGAGCACGATGCTGGTGAACCTCAGCGTGGATGGGATCTGTGCAGTGGGCCATGGCTGGGCTAGATATCTGTCTGATGCTGTACAGCTTGGTGTTTGCAGCATCTGAGGGGGTGTAGGATTATCTAATGCTGTACCCTTTCTTGTGTTAAAGCAAATAAACAGTACTTTGATTAATACATTATTGGCAAGATCCTGGTGAGAAACGCCTTATTGGAAGAAGGATAGCGAGGAAAAGGATGGTGCCTGCCTGGTCCCATACGCTGGCATGGGCAACAGTCACACAGTATGCTGCGTTACAGTGCTGATAATCGTTCTGCTTCGTGGCAGCAGACACGTGGATCACCTGGTGGGCTGCAGATCTCGTGGCCCTTACACCTTCAGGCAGCAAGCACGCAGGTCTCCAGGCTGGTGGGGCTCCACCATGCTGGCAGGGCTTCACCAGGGCTTCGGGGTGCTGCTGCAATGCCCCAGGGTGACACGTGCACAGGTCTGTCGGATGGGTGGGGTCCTTCATGCTGGCGGGGCCTCACCAGGTATTGGGCATGCACCTAAACTTATGTGTTACGCTTAAACCTCACGGCACGGCCAGGGTTCAACCCTCGACCAACTTGGAAACTGGCTTAAACCTGACCAAGGTGTTTGAATGAAAAGGCAGCAGCAGGCTGCGAGGGAAGGGGACGATTCTCTGGGTCCTGAAGCACGGGGGAACCCCTGTGCGAGGGGATGGGGGATTCACCCTTTGTGATTGTACCCAGCATTACAAATGGTGATCACACTGTAGAACTCACTTCAGGAACATATTCAGAAATACCCTGACTATTGAACCAGCAAACTGTATCCATCATAGAGGAGACAAAGGCCCAAGATAACAGGCCAAGGCCAAACCCTCTATACTCTGCTCCCTAGGAGATGGAAAATAATTACATAGGAAATAAACAATTGCCAAAGCCTTTCTTCACTTAAAAAGAGTCAATTCATAGAGGAAAAGAGATCAAAACTCCCAGCTGTGTTGAAAGCTATAGCTTGTTTTTTTTTTAACAAGTTCTTAAGCCACAGAACGAATGTAGGACCCAGAACAGACCTGATGTTAAAGGAAGATGCTGTAGCATTCAAGGCTATGCATACCTCTCTGATAACCAAGCTTAACTGCTGTGTTGCTTGAAGTTAACTTTATACAATGCATGATACCATGGAAGGTGCTAACACAGGAAAGACAAGAAGATGGTAAAAAATCTATGCATAAATATAACAATGTTGACTTAAGCTGCAGTGTAGAGGCCACCTGGCTATTATACAGAAAAGACAGAGAGATGCAGGAATAAAAAAAAAACAGGTGACTGAGAATTTTGGAAGCTCTTATGAGGGGAAACACTGTGGTGATCCACGTAACAAGCTGAGATGAGAAGGTGCAGGCCAGTGCTGCCCGTATCCCTGGGCTGCAGGATAAACAGCTGGCTAAACCTAACTGGGAGGCCCGCAGGTTGGTTGCGCTTGGCACCTGGTGATGATCTGTCCTTGTCTTTACCTTAGAGCGAAGCAGCATATTCTTAGGAGAAGATCCTTTGGATTGACAGCAGAAATGACAAATGGAGTTGTTTACTTCCAAGAAAATCCTATAAAAACCCGGAAGACCATGACACCGGTGAACTTCAGCACAGACAGTCTTTGCAGCGTGGCATAGGCTGATGCTGTGCTCCTCGGTGTTCCCAGCATCTGAACGGCTATAAGATTGTCTAATGCTATCCCATTTTGCCTTCTAATGTTATCCCCAAAAAGTGGTATTTTAATCAATACTTTACAGAGTCTGGGTGCCTTTCTTATTGGGATCCATAACGAACACTTGCACAGGTGCATTACACCTCTATAAAACACAGCAGCATCTGTTTCTCTCCTCACTACAACCGGGGGGTGGGCAGCAGTCTTCCTGCAGTGGTATTTCTTCTGCATTCACATCCATAAGCTCACTTGTCCCACCTGTAATGTGAGACCAAACCCAAATTATGCTATAGTGAGTCAAGAAACTGTCCTTGCTGCTGTCCTCTTCTCCCCGTCAGCTGAGCAAGGCCCTCCGCTTGCCAGCTGCACTTACACAAATGCGGGGCTGTTTGCGCCTCCTCCCACAGCCAGGAGCGGTGGTGGCTGCTTCATGGGACGGCCGCCGCTCTGATTTCACCACTCTTTCAAAACCTGATTGTGCCCTGACGCCTCCGTCCTGTCCCTGCCTGCGCGCTCGGCCTCAACGCTGCTTCTCCCGCTAAGTCGGACAGGGTGTTGGTAGGGCTGTGCCTCCTCCTGCGCGCACCCACTCCATCTCCACCCGGGCATCCCAGCCGTTCCTCAAGGTGCCTCTCCAGAGTCCGGGGGGTGCGTGGGTGAGAACAAGAGACACATTTAAATGAGGGAGGGAGCCCCTGCAACTGCTCTTTGTACCAGTGGCCACAGAGTCATTCCTCAGCCACCCTAATGCTAATATTTGCATTCCTTCTATGGAGATAAACATTACAGACGGATCTGCTGCAGAGAGGCACAGCACAAAACATGCTCCCTGCTGGCAGAAAGCGCTCTCGTGCCATGCAGCGGTTCCCGAGACTACCCCCAGCCTGCCCCGCTTTCTGCTGCTTCCTCACTCTGCCAATTTCCCGCTTGCTGTGGGAATCATTAGAGCTTTCCCAGCCCTTGTAGCCCAGTTCTTGACTTATTAGCTGGTGTCACAACATCCAGACTATTCCCGCCTCCCCGTTCCTGGAAGCCCTTGTTTCCCTGGCTGGCTTTGGTCATGCTGTCTCCTTGCTCGCCAGAGCTTCTGTTTCCTTTTGGATGTGCTTTTGTATGTTCCAATGGGGTGGGAATAAAAGTGGTAGCCCGAACTTCATGCCGCTTCACCCTCCTCCACTCTGCTGGGAATTTTAACGCAGTGGGAAGCACGCACTGCCAGTGGCATTG